TTTTAAAGGTCAGAATACTTTACTGACCTCAATGACCCAGGTCAACATTTTGTATTAGGAACATACTGGCTAGCGTTATCTTTGTCGCCTATCCAAGCGTAAATCTGAAAGAAGTCTTGTATGATTTTGGCCACCATGACCTTCGAAAGCTCAAACAACGTCACTAACCTTAACGCGCGCCCAGGTTGCCGGCTAGATACGCTTCGCTCGGATGGGGGTCAATTTGATCCCCTGAGATCTCGGGAACTAAGAAAGCTAGAGGCACAAAAATTACAGAGTATATTGACCTGTACGTCAACTCACTTAGGTCAAAGTTTCAGGTTCCTAGAATATGATCTTTGGGTCAAAAAGGTCAAACAAGGTCAAGTTCCAGGTTGGTTTCCAAAGTGCTCCCAGAACCTAGATAACCGTCTAAAAGCAACAGGTCATATTCTTATTCAAAGTCAGTGACGTTGTTTGACCTTTTGAAGGTCAAGGTGACCAAAATCATGCAAGATTGTTTTGAGTCTTGCATTTGGCTAAGCGACAAAGATTACGCTCGGCAGTATGTCCCTCAAACGAAATGTTGACCTGAGTCAGTTTAGGTCAATGAACTATTCTGACCTCTAAGAAGTTCATGAAAGATGTATAATGCGGTCCCTGCTAGCAACAAACTCGAAATGGGCACCAGAAACTATCCCATACAGCAAGCCCTAGAGTAGCAAAACAGATGGGTTTTGACCTTGGCGTTACCTTCATACTTGACCTTAAGTCAATTTGATTTGCTCATTCAACTGCTGTGTTGCCTAAGAAAGCATCTCAGAGATGTATGGCTTTGTCAAACACTCCGCTGTTGGATCAGATTGAGGATTCCCTAGAAATTGCCTTCGCTGAAACCATGGTCCGACTTTGACCTGCCATAGGTCAGCGGCGTTTTAAGGTACATGTAAATGTTTTACGCCAAATGATTTGCTATTCAAATGCCTACAGCTATGCAAAATTTGGCGTGGCTGCGTCGCCATTCGGAAACCATTCTGGAAAAACCTTCTGGTCAAATTGAGCCCCCCCCGAGGGCGTGCTAATTGAGCATGTGACGTTTTGCTAAGAGCACATTTCTATGTTTTAGGGTACTTTGGGGACCAACCAAAAGTTTCACCTTGTTTGACCTTATTTGAACCGAAGGCAATGACCCGGAAATCTTAAACTTTGGTCCAAGTGAGTTCAGGTAAAGGCCGACATATCTCTGAATTTGGCGTCTCTAGCTCTTTTAGTTTCTGAGATCTCAGTGGGGGTCAAATTGACCTCCCCACCCGAGCGGAGGGTGGCGGCCACCCCAAGTGTTAACACGCTTCCGGGTGGGCGCCACAACCGGCCACCCGGAAGTGTGTTAACAATCAGCCCGGCGGCCGGTTGGATGCGATGCGCTCGGATGGGGTTGGGGGAGTGAGAGTTCATTTAAACACCTTTAAGATTTTCGGAAGCGCAGAAAGCTAGATACACTGAATTAACAAGTAAAGCATGCCTGTATGTGAGCTCACTTGTGTCAAACTGCTTGAAGCTTTTCCCCGTTTGAAGTCTCGAGCTCCGTATCCTCAGGTCACACAAATTCACAAAAGGTCACAAAAAGGTCTCACCCCAGATTGTTGTCTGAAGCGCCATCGGACCTCCTCATGCAACCTCGCCAGGCCTTTATACCTCCCCCTCACGTTCAACCTTTCACAGTAATTTTTTTCAGCAGTCCTTTTTAAACAGCTCAATCGCATCAAAACGTGTTTATAGCAGGTGGCTGTTTATTTAGTGACGGATGGTGTAGCTCAACCATATTTTCGTCAATAAGTTACCAGAGCGCAAGGACTATGTGAAACATAATATTTGCCGTACATATTTAGCTGTGACAGAAAGTATATAGAAATCTTACAAACGATAGAGTGTTTTTCATTGTGAGGGCATGATGGCGAACTCCACCACTTTTTCGTAACCACGCACGCAGACAAAGCTGCAAACTATGAATCTAAGAAACTACGGGCTTTCGTGAAACTGGCTTATTTCCGCTTCGTAATAGCGTTAAGGACCACGATAGGCGTCATGCTCCTAAAAACAAAAAGGTTCGCTGGATCATTTTAGGTTAATGACCTCCTCTCATCTTCATGAAGCTTGAATCAGCCGTCTGTTGACGCTTCACGGGAATAAAACGAGCGTTAAAAAACTGCCCGATAGATAAACTAGCCTGTAAAAAAACGCATCGGATTTTGACATCAGTCTGACCTTTATGCTTGGTCCAAGGGCAACGGGATTTTTTGTGTCCTCAAATCAACGATCCAATTGCCTAAAAAGCTCAAAGGTGTCTGATTTCATGCAACACTACTCCGTCACAGCAGATTGCACGATTACGTAGGATGATTCCATGATCTTCACTGGCGACCATTGCCCGACTTTGACCCGCCACGGGTCGGTGACCTTGCAAGGTACATCAGTGACTAATCTTGCGGCTACGTCACGCCGTACGAAACCTACTCAGAAAAAACCTCGGGGGAAAGGTCCCTTCTGGACACGCGTCCGCCAACAGCATGCATTTGGATGGGAGCCGATATTGTAGGAGCTCCTCAATATGTCATAGCTTGTTCACAGTCATCATACCTTGCACAACATTGACTGAGAACCTATTCTCTGCAGTTATGTCTGGAAATCTCGCTCAAGAACGCCAGATATGAACGCCTCAACATATTTTTTTTTTGTCTTGATCGCCGCATTCCTTGTTTGTGGCTGCTGGTTTCTGGATCTGGCTCCTGGCTTCTGGATCGTCGCGTCGCGTGAAAAAGCCAGTAAGCCAGAAAGCGTCAAAATTCTAGTGAAGCATAACCCATTTTTGTTCGGTGTATTGCATATGTTTTGTCAGAAATTCCCAACGACAAACCAGCACAATGGATGGCATCAGGTCGCAGCCTATAAGCCGCATGCAAATACTCCATACCAACTGGTAATGCCGGAAAAACAATGCTTGTATGAAGCACAGCGCCGTGCAAACACTATACGTCAAATCTTGTTCCAACAGGAACTGCGCCAATCCCTTGGATATCCTATTGACCTGCGGAGACCAAGTCGTTTTGGTGCTACCAGTTTCTCCTCTACCGTATACCATATGTGCACCTTCGTACTAACACAATCAGCCAAATTTCGTGCAGACGCAGCCAAGTTCCTAGCATCACTGTGCTCCAATGCATGCTACGATTCAAACCAACATACGCATTGATTATGGAATGACACGCTTTTGAATGACGTTGTTATGGCGTCATGAAAGCCAAGATGACCCTGAAACACTCACCCCAAAAACTCTTCCGGGCGGGTCTGGCTCAGGATGTCCCGCTTTGGGTGACGAGGCCCCTTGGCCAGCTTTATACGCCCCTTTGTGAATTAAATGCATTCCTCTCTGGCAGGCGGAGGCTCCCCTATGCACAGAAGGCCCTGTTTTGGAACAAGAGGCCCTGTTTCATGTTATTGGGACCCTTTGCCGGATAAGTTATATGATGGCCACTCAGTTTTTTTTATTTCTTTGGGAGGGAGAGAGGACATGTCCCGGCGCTTCACTCATTGAAGACGACAGTGCCCAGGAGCCCCCGCGCTGTGAGAAAGCCCCATTTAGTCCTGGAAGCCCCTGAAAATCCTTCCCTTAACTCAAAGTCCGTGTCGCCCATGTACGTGATGCAGGAAAAGTTTTTTTTTAGTCCGATTCAGTACCCTAGCTCAGTCATAGGGTCTCACACATCTAAACTTTTGATGGACGTATGTGTAGCTGCAATTTTTTTTTTGCTTGGGAAAAAGTGGGCACTGATGCCAGTGGGGTAAAACATACTCTGCCACCCCTTTCGATGGGCGGCGAGAACAATACCCCTACCCCCCCCCCCCCCCCTGCTGCGCCGCCCTTTGTCAGTGATATACAGCAATGCGTGGTGTGTGTTTATATCTGAGTGCGTGTGGGTGGGACTAGTCAGTTTTTGTGCTGCTTATCACCGAAATAAAGTGTGGATATCATCAACTGATTCATTAGCTTTTCTAGTAGTCTTGTTTTTTTAAGATGACCTTGTGCACCGTTGTATGAAGTCATCCATTCGTAAGTACAAATCTTAGTTGTCAACACCGTGCAAGCTGTATTGATATGTAGACGGCCACCACGTCGAAGACACCGAGGTTTCAGGTGCACTATATTTGATGACCGCCCATCGCCAACACCGCGCCTCAACTCCTCGTGGATGCTGTCAGGGAAACAACGAAACCTCGGAAATGGACAGACTAGACCTAGAACTAAACAGAGTGGAAACAGACAGAACAAAGACTAAAATTAGCAGTGCAAAATGAATGCGAAAATAGCATGGATTGACTGACACTAAATTAGACCTCAAGATAAAAGCAAACTAAGTGACTCAACAAACGAGAAGCGAGCACTAAATCAAACTAGAAATGCAAACGGTACACCGACTACAGATACACTACAAGCACATCCCGAGAAAGGTGCTACCAATTTTGCCACTGTCTGCCTACTTGGCGTACAAGTCCTTGCATCATGCTGTTTCCCTGTCTTTCAGGTGTCCATCAAGGGCTTCACGCTGGTGACACTGGTTCAGACGGACAAGCCCCGATACCGTCCCGGGGACAAAGTCCTGATCCGTGTCATATCCCTGCGGACTGACCTCACTCCTGTTATCAAAAACGCGACCTGTTAAACATCGCATTGATTCACTGTCAAACCCTATGGGTGTTTATCTGAGGAGGGCTATAACCTATGTCCAGCGGTCGCTGCTCGGAGGATAAGAGTATCATTAGGGAATGCAGGCAGGTAGTGGTGAGCGGCTGCCGAAGTCCCGACCAGGTTTATTCATTGGTGACAGGCGCTGATGCAACAAAGCGTTGTGGTGTGCTTTTAGAGTTGTTATCATGCTGAAAAGGAACTCATCTGCAGTGCTGCATAATTCAGCGCAAGTCATGTGCCGATGTGTTTAATTCTCAATCGGACACTGCTCCTCAGATTCCTGTGGTGTCGGTGACCACCCTAGACAACATTCGCGTCGTCCAGTGGAGAGACATCAAGACCACCGGAGGCCTCATCCAGCTGGAGCTGCAGCTGACCGAGGAGCCATCCCCGGTGAGGTCACATGAAGGTCGAGAGTCAGCTCTGGTACGGTTATACTCCTCAGCCTCTCCGCTCGTTGTGTGGTGGGATCATACTCTGATAAAGGAATCGCCTTTGATGAGGCCACATGAAGGTCAAGTGTCCTGCGTATTGCATTCACACCTCCTCCACTCCTCCCAGGTGAGATCACGCTCTGATCAAAGAGTCGATGCTGATGAAGCCTTTCAGCAACCTGCTGCCATCTACTGGCATGAATTGGTACATACCTCGACTAAGTAGCAAAGCCGTGCCCAAGACCGCAAAAGCTGCCTAAGTGCACCCAAGCGCCGCTGGGAGCATTTCGGTAGCCTTTGTCATTGACTTTCAGGAGTGCTGGTGCATACGTGTGGAGACCAACGCACTATCCGAAACCGAACATTTCCTGGTGGAGGAGTATGTGCTGCCCACATTCGAGGTCAAGGTTAAGAGCCCCAACAACCTGCTTAAGGGAGAGAAGACAATCACCGTCGACGTCTGTGCCAAGTAAGCCCTGATTGGCGGGAAATGGTGCATTAGCTGATGACGTCATCGCCAAAAATGAGGCTTGATGTGCAGAGCGATTTGTTGTGCCTTAGGTTCTGATTTGCGGAAAACGGTTCACCAACCGGCCATTTTTACAGGGTTTCCGATGTCATGAAACATGCCCGTTTTACCATACCGTTATGTGGCGAGAACTCTGCTTTCCCAGTATTTCCTGACACTGACCACCTAGTGTTTCGACACTTAAAGAGTCTGATACCGTATTATATGTTACAGGCTGAATGTTACAAGGCACCAACGGTGATGTTTTTATCACGGCATGTCACATATATGCAAACAGAAATTTACTCTTCGTTAGTCATAAACTGTCCAGCACATTTCTGAGTTATCTCTTTTTAACAAATCATACTGAGTATGCTGTAGGCGATTTTCTGAATGTCGGGTCATGGCAGCCCTAGGTGAAGTAGTTGAAGGTCAAACAAACCCACCATTGGAAGAGTATTGTCTGTTGGTAGCACACATGGATAAATTAACATCAAAGATATCGACACGTTTCCAAAGGCAATGGTAGCAACAATAACAATGGACGCGGCACGTGAAGTATGCGCAGTGGCGCGACAATTGCTCAGATGTTGGGTCAAACGTGATTTAATTGGACCAAGCGCAGTGACAGGCAATATAAGGTAATCTGCATGAATCGGTGAAGCTGATTTGCTGTCACAGATCTCTCTGTTATGGGGAAGCCTTCGTTTGATGCGTTCGAAATGCCTTTCGCAACAACGTGCTCCAATATTTTGGCGAAGGCTGATGACCACTTGTGCCGATTGACAGCAAGGTTGGTCTTCTTTATTGCATATCGTCAAATTTTGCCTTCGAGAAGCTTCACAACGCAAGATCCTTCGGCCAACTTACCTCCTACCCCGGAGCATTTTCGGGAATGATTTCCGAACGGTGCAATGTGGCCACACCAAATTTGGCTTATCTGTAGACAATTAAATAGCGGATCGTTTGGTAAGACAAATCTAGGTGTACCATATAGCGTCGTTTACCTACGGCAGGTCAACGCTACGACATGATTTTAGCGAAAACAGTATCTAGGGAATCATTCAATCTGATGCAAAAGGGAATGTTAAATAAATTGTACATCTTTAAGGCAGTTTCTTAAGCAATACGACACTTTAACTAACAAATCACATTGACTTAGGGTCAGGTATGAAGCTCAGATCAATGTCACAACCAGCTTGTTTTTTCTTGAGCTTGCTCTATGAGCTTCCTCTATGAAGTAGTTTATGTTATTATTTTGAACTTATTGATAACATGTACCGCATTGCATACCTTTCATGGTCTTCGTAACGATCAGAACACGTCACTGATCTAAAATGAACCAGGTAAACAATTTGTTTTCAGGGACGTACGGCCTAACATAATCCTTGACGCTTATTCAAATGCAAACATCAAAGCAGTCTTGCATGAGCTTCGTCACTATGACCTTTGGAAGATCAAACAAGGTCACTGACCTTAGAAAGGTACAAGTTAATTTTGCCTTACAACAGGTGTCTAGGTGCGTTGGTTGCATTACAAGGTCCGGGGGCAGTTCGGACACTAATCTGGAGTCTTACTTTTTGACCCCATTTGACCTGAAGATCATAATCTAGTAACCTCAAATTTTGACACAAGTGTAACGTGTAACGGACAAGCAAACACACCCTGTGGATTCGTGTCTCTAGCTCTCCTATTTTCTGAGATCTCAGTGGGTCAAATTAGCCCCCACCCCACCCAAGCGAAGGGTATCCAACCGGCCACCCGGACGCGTGTTCAGACGTCACGAGATGACGTTCGCTGACCTTGCGCACCTCAGGTACACCTTCGGTCAGCCACTGATTGCAGCCGCCGTGACGGTGAACGTGACGACAAGGCGCGGTCCTGCTAACAGTATTAGTGACACCCTCACGGTGAGTCTGTGGCTGCTGGGGCTATCTAGAATGTTGACAACTGTTTGTGAGATCTTGACCTGGCGTCGGAGTTACGGGGTCATGACTGTGATGCCTCGACAAGCCAATAATTATCAGGGCTGATTATTACCATCAACGTTTGCTGAGAAACCAAACCCTCTTTCGTCACGTGACCGACAGGTGACCTCTGTATCGGTTAGCGTTGTACACAGCCGGGGTGTTGCCTCGTGTGTGCTGTCACAGACGAGACACCGTATCACATGATCATTGTTACAGAAGAGGTGTGCTACCGTGTTTTTGTTGCTACAGACGAGATGTGTTACTGTGCTTGATTTGCTACAAGCGAGACACATCACCGTGTTTCTGTTGTTTTTGACGAGGCTCGTTACCTTGTTCCCGTTGTTACAGACGGACGAGACAGGCTGCGCCTACTCAGATCTGGCTGTGGATGAACTGTTGTCAAGGTCCATACGCTTCAGTAAGTAATAGATCATTCTGATGTAAGTAAACCACTTGTACTCGTTCTGCTCGGGCATGTGTTTGTGATGCAATTGTTGCACTGAAGAGCACTGCACTGATCGTGATACAACGCATCCAGGATAAAAACAACGGTGGTGTTAATCGGAACCCCTCAGGACGACTTGCTCGACGAGAGATACATTACTTGCCCGTAAATCACTTGAAACATCATCACAAATTTATAAAAAGTAAATCTGCAACACCAAGCATTGCAGATTGTGTTACAGATTGTGAGCTTTGTGAGGTATGAGTGTTACGGATTGTTACCGTTATGAAGTACGAGCCTTGCAAATGATGAGCTTTGCCCACAAAATCAACGAGAAAATATGGAAAAAACTATTGTGCCCAGTAACGCAAAACTAGACGAAAATACTCTCAGATTGAAGATTGCATTACAGAAAGTGATAAACTGGAGATATCCTTATTAAAAAGCATATGATCAAAACAGATAAGTTGAGGCTACATCACTAAAGTATACCAACTGGTTGCAACGTCTGCGGTGTCTGCAGCAACATCGTAGGTAAATCGTACGGAAAATAAGGATTGACACTGACAACCGTGTAGGGTTTCGGTTAGTGCAATGCAATAGTGTGATTGCCTAGATTGAATGCGTAAGCTGTCTGAGCATAACATGCCGCACTATTTAAGTCTCTCTTGTCTGTAAGTTGTTCAGTGCATTAGCGAGGAACGTTATATACAGATAAGACAGTCGTATTAGCCTTATTCCCCGGAGAAAAACCAGGGGAATGGAGATAAAGTCGGGTTGATATTTCGGCACCATGCATTTATCGAAACAATGGCAGAAGTGTTGCTTGTCCTTTATTGTTTATTCACCTTCTGCTATTGTTTCGATAAAGGCATGCTGCCGAAATATCAACCCCAACTTTATCTCCATATCTGCATTCTCCTGGTTTTTCTCCGGGGAATGAGGCTAATACTGCTGTCTTATCTACTGTATAATGTTCCTCGCTAATACACTGAGCAACTTACAGACCAAAGAGACTTAAATAGTAGGGCATGTTGTGCCCATGCAGCCTACGCATGTTGACGAAATATCAAACCAACTATATCTCAATTCTCCTGGATTTTCCCAGAGAATAAGGCTATTACTACTGTCTTATCTCTTTGGTCTGTATGACATGCAACACTGGCCAACCAGCAGATGTTCGGATGACTGGTGCTCTCGAGTGATTGGTGATACTTGGTCTGGTACTTTTCAAACGCAGGTATCTTCAGGGCTGTATTGCCGGACCGAGCATTTTGTTATGCTTTGATGCCGTGTGAGTCACGTAAACACACGGACATTACTGCTAATCCCGACTATAGCTGACTGTAAGTGAGGCTGTTTTTCCTTCAAGAAATATATGTACAATCTTTGGGTATGCTTGATCTAACGCTTGATCTTAGATTCGTTTGGGTAAATGAGCTTTAGTGGGCGGTAATCGGTATACGCACTATTTTTGGATGATGCAAATGCTGACTGTATCATCTGTTTACTAACTCCAATGTGACCTGTTCGATCTCAGGTCCTCTCTGGCTCGCCAGCACTGAGTGTGACGCTGCCGTCCTCAGACGTCCTCGTCTCCGGCACCCGGTCCTGGCTCGCCGTCCGTCCCGTCAGCCGTTTCGCCGGATCCCCAGGACGGGACCCACCTGGGCACGGGAAAACATGCGCTTCTATGCATTTGAAGCAATAACGCTCTTCCAGCCTTCTTTTGTTCTGTTAATATATGTCTGTTCACGGCTATGCGCTTTCACGGAAAGTCGGGGTCATAACGTCCCTCTGACCTTACTGACGCCTAATTTATCTTGACCCCATGCTTGCTATTTCGGTAAAAGGGATACGATTGATCAACTAACAGCTGTCACACTTCTTTACTTGATATTTTGGCACATTTTTGAGCTATCGCCCGAGCTCGACAGGAAGGGAGCAGATTTTCTCCGCTTCCCCTCTCTTCGGTTATCGCCGGGCTAATCCTCGCCCTGATTCGCCGTTTTCATAACGCAAGCTGAGGGGGGGGGGGGTCAAGGTGACCGCTCCTCCTGGCGTTTCCAAACTAATAAAGATAGAGCATGGCAAAAACAAGTGGATTTTCTTTAAGAAGATCTCATGACTGGTTCTTGTTTATGTTGTTAGGTCAATCATTAAACCCACTATGACTGGCCAAAGGCCAAGTTTTCCATAACATCGCACTTGTTAGGTGTACCATATCATACATACGAGACCGTAGCATGCAGCAACACCAGTCCCAACCAGGCGTGTGCCTTGTTCAATTCTGAGTACAAAGGTGTATATTTCTATGTATTTTGAGTGGGCAATTATGATTTATGGCTCCTTTAATGGAACAGCTGCTACACGTCTAAATAAATACCTCTGCAGCAACAGCTGTGTCATCAAAATAATCGCCTATATGAGATTATCGATGCCATGCTGTCACATTAAATGTCAGGTTTGAACCGGCTCACGTTGTAAGCCTTTCTTACAAACCCGCAGGTAAAGTGTTATACATGACCCAGCGATCTCGAAGATGGGAATACCGTTTGACAAGGAATGACTGGCACGTTTGCTCTAGTGTATTTTCACTTTTCCAAAGGGTTGGAAAACAAATCAAGTGTAAGGGCACTTAATGGTGGAATACAATGCACATGCGCTAGGCAGAATATAAAAGAAAGACCGAACATTTAAAGCAGCCCAGTGTATTTCCCTCGCATTTTAAATTGGCGGTGCCGCAACAAACGTTCATACACAGTTGCACACATCGGACAAAAGTTACTCAATATTCAGGGTCATCGCTCGCACACAGGGAAACGGCAAGGCGACACAGCAAGGAGTCGGTGTGCCTGAAAACATATTTCGCAGCACATTTGCAGTCATTGGTTAAAAGCGATCTTTCGTATGCTGATCTAGAATGTTGGCAGTCAGATTTGTAATAGCAAAATATTCCGGCTTAAGCTGCATGTCTGCGATCGAATCACAGAGCGTCGGCGTCCTCTTGACATGACATGTCATGTCACGTGTCTTCCAGTCATGATCCGTGAGAGGCACACACCGGTCTTCAACATAAGTATCAAGCGGCGGGAGAAGACACGGGTGAGAGCTCGTACTCCTGAAACAGAGACGTGACGTCATAGGCATGACGTGACGTCACACAACTGTAAACACATCACCCGCTCACTCACCAAAACAGTCATGCACAGGCTGCAGCTATAAGTATCCGTGTACGGGGGTTGAGTTTTACAGATGTCGAGTAATATTATTCACAAGCTGCAGGGGCTTCGCAGTCGCTGGCGGTGCATCAAAGGGCGCGTGACGTCACGTGTTGCGTCCCTTTTTAAGTACATTTTCGAGCACCGAACAGAAAACGGTTATTTTTTTCTATGTTATTAACAGGTTTTGAGGTGACACCTGGTCTACATAGCAGACGACAAAGCACTTTGGGCACTGGGTCAACGTGAAAGCAAGCTCCACTGGTCCTCGGTGTCTGTTTTCACCGTCATATCGTGTTCTTCCGGCCAGGAAATACACCACGTGCTGTCCACCGCACACACAGTACCAGCGTCGCTGCTCGCTGTTTTGGGACTCACTGGATGCTCAGCTCCGCGGCGACGTCTCTCCTGACGGAGCGGGAGCAATGGACAGCTTCCTAGCGCTGGGATCGAAACCAAACCTCGTGATTCACGGCTTGGCTGGCATACACCCCTCACCAGAATATTGCGATCCTCAGGCCTGAAGAGGTCGTAGACTCGCACCACCGACGGCTTCAGGCCATCCACCTCGTTCTCTCGAATGATGCGGAACTTGAGGCAGACCTTCTCCTCGGTGACCTTGGACAGCGTGAAGGTCACCTTACCCTTGCTGAAGTCGTATCTGCGTACCGCTGTAGATGGAGAGAGTGGGGGTTGGTAAGAATCGTCATCATCATCATCAGCCATTCGTGAAGCGGGTAATGACCAAACAAAACATAGCATGGTAGTTTCACAGACACTTGCAGAAATGCATATACGCAGGGAGGCGCAACATCTCCTCCAGGTGCCTATGACACCTGCTTTGTGTAGGCCTCGGGGTTATTATGACAAAAGAGTTCTGCAACGGTTTGTGTTGGTGCTATTGCAGACGAAATTACCGTGGGTGCAGTACGAACCACGTAGTCAGAAGCGACAAAAACATAATTGCGAAATACGTGGCAGACAGGTGCAGCGCCCTCTCTCGACGCATATATCGCAGCCATTTTCACGACTTGTTCGCTTGCTGAGTCGGAGAGGCTTTGCAGTCCTTGACTTTACTGTTGGTGATTTTACTCTATTCACAGACACTTGCAGGAGTCCTCCAACTATCGCTCTCCCCTCCCCCCCCCCCCCCAAATGTCTCTCGATATCGCTCTCTCCCTCTCCCCTTCAACCATCACTCGCTACCCCCACTGTTTAGAGCCTTTGTCTCGGACTCGAAACGTTCGTTGTTTTGAAGAACAGTCCTCGCCGTTTCGGAGGCTACTCTCCACTTACCGTCGCTGGTTCGGAGGCTACTCTCCACGTACCGCCGCTTTTTCGGAGACTTCTCAGTGTGCTGCTGATGGTGAAATAGCCCGAGGGCATTTCCACCTCCAGCATGACGCGCTCCGATTCGCCAGAGTCCCCGATGTAAGCGGAGCACACCTCCAGCTCATACGAACCGCCTGGAGAGCGGCTGGGACGAGCCTCCGAGGTCACCGCCAGCGAGAATGCTGGCTTCGGCAACTGGGCACGGTGGCTTTGGGGTTAGCATCGGCTCACCAAAGCCAGGTGAAGCAATCCACGTCACCTGTTCATGAATGAGAACTTGCCCAAAATTAATAGTATGCATGGTTGCGCGACCGTTCGCTTTTCAACGCAGCCTAAAAGTCGGTAATAATTGTATAAGCATTTGAGCACCTGACCGTAGCCACATGTAGTTTTTCAACGCAGACCAGTGCTGCGCACCGTACACGTACAGCCTGAGAAACCACCCGCAACAAACACCAGATCAAGTTATCTGGGATAGAAAATGAAATGTACTGCGAACATATCTTGCCAGCAAATGTGCTCTAAGGTACAAACGCCATTTGGAGCAGAGCGCCAACACAATTTCTTAAGCTTATTGTTGGAGCCGACCCCCGTTTTCCGTTGGCAATCGTGAGAACGGAACCGTCCCATCAGACATGACACGGCAGGTATAGCTGACAGGTCGTGGTTCATAACCATGCTACATACTCGGGAGCGGCTGGAGTAGCGGAAGCTGGTGCGGTAGAGGACGCAGCCGGCTGGACTGACGGTGAAGGTGACCTCAGCTGGCAGCTGCGGGCAAGATGACGGCCTTAGGCAGAGGTGGGAGTGGAAGCGGAAGAAGCATGGGCGTGGCCGGATGAACACAGCGAAGTTCCTGGCTCCTGGAACTTCTGATGGCCCGTGCAGTCATCAGAAGTGCCTCTGTTGACTGCAGAGACCAGCTCCTACATGGGGAACGTCGTCTGGGATAGAAAGTAGCTTCAGCTTTAGCATCCTCATCAACGAAATGACCACATGTTTAAACAAAATCGATGAAGGGTGCTATTAGCAGCAAGGTGATCGTCTGCTTGAGTCAGACGCAAGAGTTTGGACTCAAAGAGCCACACTGAGGAAAGAGTTTAATATATTTTGTGTTTCATTCTTCATCTGGTAAGCTACATTCGCAGTTATCGTTCAAGTTAAGCGAACACCCGCCGACTGAAATAAGCTAGCAGCACACGCTTACCGCAGCCACGTACCTCAAAATCTGCCACCTTTTCTTGTTGCAGTAGCAGACGGTTGGACGAGTCCACCACAAGTGTGAAGGGGGGTCCGGCAGCACTGACTGTAACGCTAGTGGACAACTCCGAAGAAAAAGTGCGTTCGCCAAACTCTGTCAGCGCCTGCATCGCCACAATCGTGTCCTATAAACCAGAAAAGACAAGTCGTCAAAATCATAGCGATACTGCGGTCTTTTGCTGTCGGTTGAAACGTTCTAAATCATCTGCGTTGTAACGACAACAGCTGGTCCTGTTCTCAAATTCAGCACTTTCAAAGTAATCATCAGTCGATGTTGGAGAGGGGAGGGACCATGGCTAGACGTCACCAGCCTGCCAATCTACTGTTGTGCTCTGTGGTGACACATACTTATTACAGCAATGCTCAGCTGGTCAGGTGTCACCAGCCTCTGCCTTTTTATGGTCATATGCTTATATCAACAAACCACTGGTAAAATTTCCGCCAGACCTATTAATCTGTTAGACCACCTCCACAAGTACTCACAACCGCAGGAATCCACGGTCTACCTGTATGGAGATGCAGCCGCCCAGACTGTTGCGCTGCCTGTTGATCCACTTGACGGCCCGCGCCGCCTGCTCCATGTTCTCCTGACCCGAGAGGTGGACCAGGGAGAGCACCATGTGTGCCGTCATCTCAATGTCCACGGCCCGACTGCCGCCGTCTGTGGACCAGGGAGAGCACCATACGTGCCATCAACCCAATGTATATTGCCGGATGGAATTAAAGCCGGTCATGGTCAATTCCCAACAAACTCGAAGATGGTGTCACTCACAAAATGAGGCTGTCATTCTTCCCGCCGTGTAATGAATGACGTTTCCGCCGCCTTCTCCAATGCTCGAATGACAAGACACACAGTTCATGCTGTCGTCACCCACCATCACAAAAGTTAGACGCTACTCTAGGGTAAAATGGCAGGTTCAGATGGAGTCACTAATCAGGAATGCCTGACGTCGTTGACCAAATTACGCAGGATGACGTCATTGGTCAGGGACGCCCACCAGATGGTTTGAGTAGTCCTGGACGCCTACCAGATGTCACCACTCACACATGGGTCAGTTGCTGCCTGCAGAGAATGGCGTCGCGCATGTACGGAAATATAATTGGCCTTTCATCTGACATCAGACGCCGCACTCCTCCAACGTGGTATTACACACAAACTGAATTGCCGCTATCGTCATGGAGAATGACGTCATTGACAGACGAAGATGTAACCGCAATTCCGTATGACGTCACTGGTTTAATCTTTTCAAGATGACCCGCATCACTCACACAATTGTTATTGCTCTTAATACATCGCACCATTTCGATGAGAGACGCATCGTATCTAATTTAAAGTACCATTTCAGTAAGACGGACGCAGTTGCGGTGACCTTTCTGTCGGAAGGTGTCACTCACAGATGGAGCGGCAATCGCCCTCCCAGAAGAGGGCGTCCGACCCCTCCGTCTTGGCCTTCTGCATCAGAGCGGAGACCAGCTGTTGGCCGCGCTGTTCCCGGCCCAGTACCACGTGCGTATAGGCTAACAGCACCAGCGCGATATGGAACAGCTGCAGCTCCTCGTATCGAACAGGTTTGGCGGCGTTTGGAGCACGAGCAGCGGCCTGTTCGAAGACCTGGAGCTCAGGTAATGGGGACGGACGCCTAGCGCAACCTGGTGCCGTTTTTAACATTGCCACTAGGGCGGTGCATGAGAGGGAACAGAGTCGGGAAACGAAGCATGAAAGTCACCTCCAGCACTTCAAGCGACAAAGACGCATCCTGCTATCTTCCACATACGATGCAGTTTAGCGAAGTTCACGGCTGTAGCTGGTGCCACGTATAGGAAAGAGGCGACGAGTCGCGCGCGGAATATCGTACATCCGCCCAAATATGCAGCTATCTTCTACTACGAACAACATTGCTGACCGTTTCGCTCAAACTGCTAATGCATTACAAAAACAAATATACGAACTTTTGCGGTAAACGTTCATTGTCAACAGTGTGGGGCCACTAGGCAACTTACATAAAGTGAAGCGACACTGTAGCAGCAATTCTGATGAAACCCTCAGAGCTAATAGGCCATACCTCGGCATACAGTGTTTTGTTGGTCAGACCGATGCCGTGCTCCAGGCAGGTGAATCCGCTCTCCAGACTCTTGTTGTTTTCTGCCCCGAGGGCGAGCATGACGAACGCCGTCAGGGCGGCCGGGCCGCCCCGCTCCGTGCCGCCCTGGTGAGTGAACACACCGGCGTCACCCGGAGATCATCTCTTGGTCAGGACAGATGTGGATGTGAAGAACATCTGTGACATTTTCTTTTACGCCCTGACCATTTTATAGCACGTATGTACGCCTGTTGACGTTAATGATCCTCACTCCATTATTTGACCCCAGCCTGAGAGCTCTGTGTCCCGATACCCGCAGCACGGGCGTGGAGCCGGGGATTGGTATATCCCATTCGCCATCATGACGACGCATCCCTTGCCTTCAGCTCCTTGTGAATGACGCTGCCGATCGGACGGAAGCAGCCGTCATCCTGCTGCTGCTGTACCAGCCATTGCTCGCTCTGCTTGATCGACTCCTCGTCTGGCAAGCAAGTTATGGTCAGCTAGTGAGGAGAATCGGCCACGGTACCAGCCGTCTCACACTGCAAATGGCTGACTCGTCATCTTGACAGGTTATGGTCAGCTAATGGGATACAGTAGGCATCAAAGTGTTGCTACCGTGCCACCCAGCTGACGCTGGCCACGAGCCTCTTTGTCTTGATAAGAATGCTATGGTTACGTGGCGAATGGAGGCAGCTCTGACCATGCCATTGTTGCAGCGGCCATTTATCTGCGGTCTTGGTCAGCCTCTACTCTGGGCATGGGGATGAGACGGCAAAGTTATGGTCAACTATTGGACGGAAGCAACTTTCGCTCTGCTGCCGCTACTGCACCAGTTAACTCCTGCTGGTGATGGCTGACTTCTCTCATGGACATGGCAGCAGATAGGGCGCAGCTATGGTCAGCTATTGAAAGCGAACAACTTTTCCCTGCTGCTGCTGCACCAGCTGGCTCTCGCTTGCATTGGTAACTTCGCGCATGGGCGAGACAAACGGAACAGTGGGGTCTGCCCCGCTATGCCCGGTGGTCCCACATAATCCCACTGACACGTCCGCTCCCGTTAACTGGCTGGCTGTAGCTCCTCAGAGTCGAAGCCAAGGTGATTCTTCCTCGGCGCGGTGAAGGTCATTCTTCGCATGGCGCAGTGAAGAATGACCTTCACCAAGGTCGTTCTTCACTGCGCTATGCGAGGGTCGTTCAACGCGCGCCAACCACCTCTGATCGTAGTGCAGCACTGCACTATCGCTCTGGACTCATGCTGATCATGATGGTGATAATGGCAACATGACAGTTGCATCGACAATGATGACGTCCTTTCTCACAGTGGATATATAGAAGCAGGCAACCCTGAGCCAAGAGTACATATTAGAGGCGCCAGGGGTGTGCTGCAATTAATCCAATAACCGAAACACTTGTTGTACCGCGACATGTTGCACCCACCAATAACGATGTACTCGGACGCCTCCTTGAAGGACTTGACGACGAAGGCGGTGAGCCACAGCGAGCCTTCCGGGTCATCCCGGCCGAACGAAGAGTACGAGCCGTCCCGATGCCTGTACCGCAGCTGAGTCTGGTACCCTAGGGTACATCATGAGAGAGTCACAGAAAGCATGGGTCACGTGACTGGGTCTAGAACCATCAGGCATAGCGCAGATCACAAGTTTCAAGTTTTGTAACTTGATCTGGCACACTCTGAGGCAAACAAGAAGGTCTACGGGCCGCACGTGTCATCTGCCACCGAGGCTTCCTCCTTGCCATCTAATTCACCTCACCAAACCCAGCGATGACCTTGTCCAAATTTCCAGGCACACGTTTTCTATCTACCCAAGGTCTGCCAAGGATGTTCACCAATCAGAAACCGAAAGGGGTCGTGAAGTTCCGTGGTGGTAGTTATCGTCAGATTCATCGCACGTGCGGAAAGGCAGCTGGAACGGTCTTCGCACACATCTGTTACACACGTACAGTGCTACCTCTCCAGGAAGTAAGGCTAGTATCTAGTGTGTCAATGAGCCATCAACATTTTTGCCCTTTCAGCCTAGCCCTCGCCCTCATATGAGAGGAAAAAGGATCGATACACCTCATCTAAAGTTTTCTATGGGTTTTCTGAGGGTTTTCTGGCATATCGTGCAATCACGCGCAAATTTCCGCCGGCTATAGGACACGCAGTGTAAGCATTTCGACGCGAAAAACGTGTCCCCAGCTAATTTGTTTTCTGAGTACCGACGTTCTCGATGAACACGGCACAGTAATTTGCTGCCAGCGCGTGTGGAGGCCTCAACCGACGATTCCGCGGACCGCTGGCGGTGAGATGACACTGTTACATTGACGGAGTCCTACATCATACAGATATGCTCAAAACACGTGCCAATACATACCGCTGCACTCAGAAGTGAAGAATGACCACGGCCGTTAGCGTCGCTCTGAGGCATGGTCTCTTGTATATGAGCGTGTTAAGAGCATGTGTGTTTGAGCATGCACACTTGAGCATTTATAAGGATGCATCTGGAAAATATGACCTGCGACTTGGTCTAGTGGCGTTAATTGGTTACCTAGAAACATTAAACGTATTATCCATCGCAACACCTCGGCAAGAGGCGCTGTCCCTTTTAGTTTGGAACGGCAGGGCGGAGCTCGCATCGAACCCCTATCCGTTCACGTTATGAAAAAACCGTGACTCATGGCGAGGGGTAACGAGCTGTTCCAGCAGCGTACCACACTGTACACGGGCTTATCCTCTCGGTCAATCACGAAATTAGTGCTACTGGGCGCTTTATCCTGACATGCTTTTCCAGCTGTTTTGTTTATTTTTCATTTAAGTGCTCTTTATACGCCCCCGAGACACTTGGACGATATTTGCCACGCATTGGAACGCCAGGAAGCTCAAGTGAGAGATGAAGTGATCAACGTGCAAGTGGAGCACATCTGAGTTGTTGACGTCCTTCCTGAACGACGCGCTGCATTGGCCAAAATACCTTTCACGTACCAGAGGAATATGCTCTTCCATTTAGATAGCCAAACACAGATTGCATACGACTTGATACGCTGCACTGATGATGCATTGATGGTGTGACTTGACACGCCGCAAGTGCTTTGAAATCCAGAGGCACTTGGCACGCACGCCTCCGTTTTTGATGGTGCACGTTGGCGTGCGCAAGTCGGCGCCAGCTGCTGTTTTCGTGACCTGGATTGGTCCAGACCATTCTGAATTGCATGCCTGTCTGCCTGGTCCGCCTGGTTTTTGTCCCACCTTGTCTCATGCCATGATTATCTAGCCCCGGTCCCCAGGGGTCAGCAGTTCCGTATGCTCCGAGTCTCTGTCTCACCTCGTCTCATGCCGTTGATGGTCCGGTCCCGGTCACGAGGGGAGAGCAGCCCGGTGTGCTCCAGGTACGCCCTCATGTGGATGTACGGCACGAAGGCCAACATGTTGTGCTCTCCTCCACCCGTCGGGATGTCCACCAGGCGGCCCAGGTTCTGGCAGTCACGGCCGTGGGTAACTACACATGGAGAAGTCGGCGAGGCAGCTTCGTTGATTACAATGGCAGCGGAAGAGCATCTCAAAAGAGACTTCATCTCAGAGACAAGTTGCAAACAATTCAATGCAATTCGTCCATTAGCCATACTACATTTTTTTAATCTCCACCTTGATAGGGAGAGTGTCGAACCCCTCGCCCCCCCCCCCCTCCCCCCCGCCCATGGCGTTCTGAGGGTATTTAGGCTGTTGACTTGGCAGATCGCGCACGGTGGGCCAGCATTGGTGCATTAATAAAGCCCTACATCATCAGCAAATGTTCAAGTACACAAAGCCATAGCTGTTCAATTTTCCAGAAAACTTGTCCTTTGGCCCAGCCAAGTTTGATCAACAAGAAGCGTAGCCTCGAACAATGAGTAGGGTGGAGTTAGTTGTTTGGAGTCCCCCCATCATCGAGTATTATACAAGGGCTTTTATTTTTCTAAGGGAGAGGATAAAATCAGGGAGGAATATGCACTCATTCGCCACGTTTGCTGTACTCTCAATGGTATCTGTGAGTGTCATGGATCAAAACTGGATGAACAGATGTGAGATACATAAGGAACAAACTCACTCCGTGCGAATGTCCGAGCAGATCGCCCACCACGGAGAAATAAGCCCGCTCAGAATCCGGCACCAGGCCTTCAGGACCCACCATCGGGATCCGCTCCACGTGAGGCTCAGCTCCTAGCACATCGGGAGCAAGTCAGTGCCCTGCTATAACAGGGGGTACGGTCGCATCATGGCCTCAGGCCTTTTAAGCGACGATCCGCGACAGGCTCGCTACTATTGATGGCGATCGTTGTGCAAGTAAAGCATGCGATACTATTACAAATGAAAACACAACACACATTGACAGAGTACTGGTGCTCAACGTCACGCGGTGAAAGATCGTGGTGATATTACCTCAAGGACGCTATAGCCCGCACTAGAGCTGTTCGAAAAGTGGAGTTTGTTATGGAACAACAGCTGCTTGAGATAATAAACGACGAGCTGCATAGGGATTTAATTATATCGAAAAGGAATAAAATTTCGCAATACTGCTAAGACCAACTGAGACCCGTCCTGGTTGCTTAGCTCTCTCAAGGCAAATTTACTTGCGTACGCATAAAACAAAGCTATGGTATCTCCATCTCTACCTAGAGCTGCAATGCTCCTCGCATGATTTCCGCGCTTATTGTCCCAACCTTCCAATCACACACCGCAACAAGCCATCAGACCCTCACTCAACACCATGTAGCAAAGCACCTCAAGCACCGTCATGTCTATTTACACAGCACTCCACCAAAGACACTATGGCACACCATCACGCCACCGTTTAGCTAACGCACGCACGTACGCACTCATGCGCATACGCACGCACGCACGCACGCACCGGGTGAGTTCGCTGGACTAAACCAGGACCAGCGTACAAATGACTCTGTCACAAGAGTCATCGCTCACCTTCGTCCAGGCACACGAACCGTGACGTCGTCTCCTCCTGCGGGAATCCCTCGGGCTTGACCACTAGCGGACGGATGACCGTGTCACTGTCGGTCACAGCAGGAGGGTCACGGTGTTTGTGCTGCCAATAACATTCCAAACGCAGGTGCGTGGGAGATTCGCAGCACGGACGATGTCAGGGAAAGATTCTTATTGAGCCGATACTTGTATGAAACCTTCTCCAGCGCATGCTAAGCTAGTAAGAACAACGAGGAGCATGTGCGTCGACAAGCCTCTTCCCACCACCCCTTCCCCTTCCTACACACAGGAGTAAACAATTTTTTTCAAAGATACTGCAACTGGTGCAGTCTCAGGGAGCCTTCGCAGTGAATCGGACGACAACATATATACCTCTTTGACGTCAAAATGACGTCACAACCCGATAGATTCTGCACCTTTGGGTGTTCGAAGTGAAACTGGACGACAATACTAGACGTGACGTCATGCAGAATCCTTTTCCTTTACGTCACTGAAGCGAGACAGACATGACGCAACGGATTCATCTATATGCGTGCCATATTGTGTGATCGTGACCAGCGACGTGTGAACAAATGTGTTTATTCCCTTAAAACTTACATAACTTGCAGTTTCCATTCCTAGACATAGACCGTTGATCCAAACTGTTGCGGCAAAGTACTCGATAACTTTTGTGTTACTTCGACCCATGCGTAGGTTTCATAGCCCCAGTTGTAGATGATTGCTGTGCAAACTGTGCGAATTACAAAATTGATGCATTAGATACATAATTCATCAAAGAAAATCTTATGTTTGTGGATAGCTACCCAAAACCGACCGGAATCAACGAACGTGTGTGTAAGACTTGAGACGTAAGGTGCCGGGCGCAATCCAGAAGCAAGACATGAGCGAATCCAGATTCTCGGGTCATCGGCCGTAATCCTTCTCTCATTCCAGCCAATCTCAGCTGGCACCGACATATTGAGCAGACTGCCTTGGCAACATTAGATAGGCTTTTGTTTTTTACCTTCCGCTGGTGCCAGTTATGCCCTGATTTATTTCTATAGGAGTAACCACGCGTACAGATGTCGTGTATTAAAATCAATGCAGTTCCGACAAACAACCACGCTGCATCATAAATTGAAGCCCACCACCAGAGCTAAAAGCTAACGAAAGCCTGCCGCCAGAACTAAAAACCATCGAAAGCTCACCTGCCGGGGCCGACGGTGTTCGGCTGGTCACAGTTGCCGTCTCGGAGTCTGGCCGTGACGGTGATGTTGACCTCGCCCAGAGAGGTGAAGGTCAGCGGGAAGTGGCTGACCTTGGAGCGGCCCGCCGGAACACAGGTCAATGCCCGCGGGCGAGACCTCGTCGACCAGCGAGTAATCATCCGACGCCGCCAGCTCCAGGTACACCTGCCGGTAGCGGGCACTGCAACGCCCGGTGCAGAGACCTGTGGGTTGACAGCTGGTGTGCTGGTGGGCATTGCAACATCTGCAACTGGTAGCCGGTATGTGCTGCAATGTCTGCAACTGGCACCTTGTGTGCACTGCGACGTCTGCTAATGTAGCAGGGTGACGTCTTAGATAGAGTTGCTTAAAGCCTGGACTTGGAGATGTCTGAGAGACGGTCACCACAAACCGTTCAGCCAAATGTGTTTTCATCGCTATTGTAGCGATTGAGAGAGCGCGTTGTGTGTATCTGGCAAAGATACAAATTTGTGAGGATGTACCGCAATGGCGTGCGAGAGTGCTGTATTCAAATCGTTGCGGTGCAATGTCACTTGGGGTGAGTCTTAGCTTGGTTGAAAAGTGTTGTATTTTGTGTGGGTACGCACAGCTGGAATTTTAGCGAATGCTTTGCAAAACGTCTGGTGAGCCACGTCTAACGGTCAGGGGACATATAACACCAGGTATAACGCCGAGTATGTTTCTCTACATGTAGGCCGAAACGCTATGTGGGTAGAATTGTTACGCCCATCTTTGATTGTGAGCAGGTCCTTGCAATCAGCAGGTAATGACAATCAGTCCCCAACAGAACAGATTAGCAGCTGCACTCATGTGAACATGTCACAGACGATCTAAAATGTAAAGAGCATTTTGTGACCCTCTTACCGACAGACTGGAGTCGAGGAAGTTGAACACGGTGGATGCCATGTTCAGGACCTCTCCGCGCTTCACGGAGTACGGCAGCGTGACCTCCGTGAAGAACGGCTTGAAGACTTTGATGGCTGATTTGTTGGAGACGCCGAACCCGTCCTGGTAGCACCCGATGACGTCATGACCAGTTGAAGGCGAATTACGAACAGGCAGGTCATTGGTGCTCGAGTGCTCGAGTTTTGAGGATTTTGTATTTTGTTAGTTTTATTTGCATTCAACAGACATAATTAAGAGTTATGTCATGGGATATCTTGGCAGTGTGTTATTGTTGTTATCATTCAGGCTTTACGACGCACCAAGCTGCTGAGACTATATGGTGTCGCCTGCCTCTCATCCTGGCAGGAAGGGCGGGCCCCGCGGGGAATCGAACCCTGTTTCTCCGGTTTCCCAAATGCGCAGATGCCTTAACCACTACACTACCGGCACCCCTGTCTCGGCAATATGTCTTAAAGACCAGCATTAAATATGTTAAAGACCAGCATTAATCAAAACGTCAGCTATCAGGAGGAAAATCAAGTTGCGCACGTGAAATCCTCGTCACCTGTATTTCGTCCAACCGGAATATGTTTAATTACCCATGCACACGCTACATACCTGCCAAACGGCGGAAACCACCGTGGAGCCTGACAAATGGAAATCTCACCTACCACGGGCCTGGAAATCCACGATAACCTGGAGCCACAAGACTCTCCCGCGCCCAGAGGCGAAACTACCCTCCGGCCTAGGACAGAGAAGTCCCGGAATACCTGGGAACGAGAGCTCCCGACCTACACAGAGGTGGAATGTTGAGAGCTCCCGACCCACACGGGGATGGGAGGTCGAGAGCTCCCGACCTACACAG